AACACATGGAGTCCCACCACTCTCCCCAGTTTTCCGGAAGTATTCCCACTTGTTCACCAGAACAATCTCGTCAAGCAGGGGGCAAAGTGAAAAGTCACTCCCAAATTAACCACTCTCCCCCCTCCACGTTGTGTCATACATATCAAGTATGTTCTGAATGGAACAACTGAGAAGAATCAGGTAAAAATCCATAACTTTTGAATCAACGGAAAAAGTCAGAAAACAGAAGACAATAGGCTTGAAAAAGGAACAGGGAGATAACGAGACAAACTGTGGTTAAGAGAGAATTTCTGAAGTAACGGTTGTTTCCTCCAGATTCCACAGATAATACAAAGTTTGTTCTAAAGTGGCAAAACCGAAGTTCTGGACGGTGACAAGGAGCTGTGAAGTGTGACAGTGGGTGATGTGGCCACAGAAAGGATGCATGACTCGTCAAGCATCGATTTTGAATGCTACTTTCACGGTAGAAAGTTGGTAAGCCTGCAGTGTCGACCAAGTTACCCGGACGACAAGCCCGGATCACCTGAGAAGCCGCACCGCTGCCTACAGTTTAGTCGGCAGTTGTCATAACGTAGTTGCAAAATACATGCCAATACGACGGCGTCAAAAACACTTGAGGGAAGTTGCGTATGCTCGTGATCACCGTATTTGAATTACTTTGAAGGGGAGACTTCTTGAAAACCGGGCGCTAGAATGGTGAAAAGTGTGCTAACGTACTTGGGGTGGGACCATCCTGCAGCGCCCTCTATGTCCCACCGCCTTTTCAAGGCTTAGTAGGTCTACGGGCAACTTGAACTCAATTCAGTCCCAACAACTTTGTTTTTTCTCTGCCTCCTCACGTCTACATTACATTGTATAAGCACTGTAACTTCGAACATTCCAAAATGATGTCGGTCACCCACACCAGACCTCCCCCGTAAAGGTCACCTCAGCGCTGGCGACGTCTTTTTTACATCTTTCGATGCTTTGGTTGCCGCTGCCTTCTATCTGCTGTTAGTGCATAATGTCTTCTCTGCGAGACTACTCCGTAGTGACTCTAGTCGTCTGCCTTCTAAGCCTGGGCATTTTCGGGGAAGGGATAGTAAGATGCGGCCGAGTGCCACTCTCCATTCTTCCGACAACATTAGCGCCGAGAAGACCTTGTATACGCGGTAGGAGCTTCTGGAGCTACGTACGGTTGGGAGAAAAATCAGTTACTATCTCGAGGGGAGGGGGTATGTGACAAGAGAATCGTAATTCACCGCGCTGCTGGGCGTCGCGTGCGACGTCGCGCCCGCAAATGACGATGGTTCCAGGTAGTAGATGGCGACAACAGGCAATTCAGAACCGAAAATAGTCATGAATGTCTACGATGACGGGGTCTACATGAAGTCCGCCACTCCAGTCGATATGTTAACAAAATATTGAGAAAACGCCGCGGGCATCACCGCGCGCGGCGCGGCAAATTGTGATTCTCTTGCCCGTCTCCCTTGATAGAGCGCGAACGAGCAGGCCCACCGTGCTGGGTGTGTAGCAACAGAATCGTCCGGTGCAGCTGGTGGGCGTGGTCTGCGACATTATTGCGGCGAGAAGACAAAGCATGCGTCTGGCCGTTTGAATAGGGATATTGAAGGGACGGTAAAGATTGATATCACCCAGGATCGAGTCTTGTGTTCAGTTACGGTTGAGTTTTTGGTTTTTTCTTTGTTTTTCCACAGAGAATGGAAAAGTTCATTAGAGCATGAAATCAGGGTCTTTAAAGTTTGCTCTGCGGCTGCTCAATGCTGATGCTGACGATTGCGCGAATCATGCGAATCACAAAAACGTAGGGAGAATAACTGCCTTGTTTGTTTTCTTTTGTATTTGTTTATTTCCTGAAGTTGCGTCTATGGATCCGCCAAACAATTGTGTGTTACTATCGAGAAAACATCCTTAGGTTTTCAATTATTGATGGAACCTGGTAAACGTTGCTGCGGATGTACACTGTAGTAGATCAATCGCTCCAATCCAGAGCTATCGGCGAGCAAATGCACTTACGTGAGCTGCTGCGTCATTCGCCGCCTGCCGCGGGCGCTGCCCCGGCGATTCTGTTGCGCGTCTCCCACTGTGCTTACAGTTAGGAGCACGCTCTTGATTATTTTCTCTTCATGTTAGGTGTCATTTTCGGAAATCGATTCCTTTCGCAACTGAGCATGCTTTGAAACACTGTTGGATTATGACAAAACAAAAATGCTGAAACGAGTTGAATACCACAACTGTCCTTTTTTACTTGCAATCGTATTCCAGAGTACCTTCCACTGTAGGGACGTCGCATGAATGTCTAACGTGACAGCATCAGTCAACGCTGCCTCACTGATGAGCCCTCATTGTCAGGGTTGATGAATAACAGATATCTCAAGACCTCAGACGGAATGGTGGCGCGTTTTTGTAATCTAGAGGAAGTAATATCTCTCTCAAACACACTGGTTCCATAGAAAGGGCGAAAAGATCATTCAGTCCTTACAGACAAACTGTACACTCACTTGCTCATTTGCGCGGATCCTTCCCAGGTGTGAGATAAATGGGATGCGCGGCTGCAGTAGCATGTCACTTTCTCCGCTCAGAACTGCACGAGCCACACGCCTAATCGTAGTCAAACGCGCTACTTGTCTGCACTCTCATTGTCGTTGTTCTTTACCGATGAGTATGCGTTTCGCTTCGGAACCCTGGTATCGACGCAAGTGTTGCTCACTGTAGATACTGCGGGCGGAGTGTGGAAACGGCGCTCAGACACCATTACCTTACATCACCGCGCCTTTCTAGGCTGCGTTTATACTTTGCGGCAGCGTAGCGTAGCGCTTCCAGCGTACGCCAGCGGCAGTGCCGGGGAGAGGATGCATATCGATCTAGCGTTCCCAGCGTCACCAGCGTAACGCTAGCGTTTCGCCAGCGTTTCACCAGCGTTTTGCTGGCGTTTGCAGCGGCAGGGGAGTAGAGACTATGTGGCCGTAAGAGACGCGCAATCGATGTGTATTGTAGAGACTATGTGGCCGTCAGAGACGCGGAATCGATGTGTATTGTAGAGACTATGTGGCCGTCAGAGACGCGAATCGATGTGTATTGTAGAGACTGAGGGCGAGTGAGAGACGCGCAATCGATGTGTTTTGTACCCTCCAGCTCTCCCATAGTCTCTACTCCCCTGCCGCTGCAAACGCTAGCAAAACGCTGGTGAAACCAGGGCACAGCATTGGTTGGGGATTCCCTATGGGGGGGGTCGTATTTGGCCGCCAAAAGGGGGGGTCGTATTTGGGCTGGGAAAAATTTATTTTTATAGTTGATTTTTCTCGCTTTGCGGACGTTTTGGAGGGGGGGTCGTATTTGGTCGTTGTTGGGAGGGGGGTCGTATTTCTGGCTAGGAGTTACGTGGTTCACTTCATGAGTTTTATGAATTTTCCCTTTTTCGCCGAGAATAAACCACAACCACAGTCAGCCATGCCAGGCGTAACGCTGGTGACGCTGGGAACGCTAGATCGATATGCATCCTCCCCGGCACTGCCGCTGGCGTACGCTGGAAGCGCTACGCTACGCTGCCGCAAAGTATAAACGCAGCCTTAGGCGTCAGACCTGACGACGACACGCTGCGCGTTCGACGCGATCGATACGCATGCTTTCGACTGCATCGATCGCGTCGAAGCGCGCGACCGAAGCGCTGCCGTGGCGAAGTCTGACGCTGCCTTAGGAATGTGTGTGGTCGCAGGTCTGGCGTATAGAGAGTACACGTCCAGGAACGGCGATACTTACCACCCAGGTGTTTGAAGTTTTTCTACTTTCATTGAATTTGCCCCCTGTCTCGCGATGACCGCCCATTAAAAAAAGGATAAAGTCTTCGCCGTTCAATCAATCCCTTTGTGGGATGCGGCACGCATTCTACTTCCATTCAGAATCGTAGTGGCTTATTGAATGCGATGTGGCCTATACAATGACTTGCGGTGGCCAGCCGATGTACAAGTCAGTGTTTTATCCTCCCAGACGAATCTGGTACCAATTTACCGTCCCCGGAGGTAGAAGGCTTGGTTGGCCTGGGCGGGAGTCGACCCGGGATTCGAACATGGGACCGGGCTGGTAAGTGCGCCACTTGTCACTACACCACCTCCGCCTCATGACCGCCCAATAGGTTAGGTAACTGTCGGTAGTCAGGAACTGCTGCATAGTTGCTTGCGCTTTTTCCTTTGACGGGAAAAGCACAGAAAGTTCAAGGGGTCACGTGACGTAAAATTAGCCGTGGCTTACAGTAGTCACCTGCAGTACGCAAGTACACCCGGCCTGAACTTTTTCACGGGATACCGCTGAGAAGTGCAAGAAGTGACGGAAAGAGTAAGGTCGACAACACATTATTATCACGCGATTTCCAGGACCTCTTGTATTACTAGTGTATTAGCTACTAATGTTGCCCATAGGGATTAGTTTAAGAAAATGTATCCACTTGGAAAGCAGATGTGCGTCTACAGTTGCCACTGCATATGCGAAGATGGTCGAGGACCATTTCTTTGACAGGGATGAGCATCAGGTAAGAAAATTTGAGAAAATAACTGGCTTTCTGTATTGCGTCGTCCGATCAAAAGTCATTTCGGTAATGTGGTGACTAAAATCCCCTGGGAGCTCCGAGAAAAAAATTGTCGTCGATTATATAACGCGGATATGTTCCTTCATGCTAAACGCCTATTTTACGACACTCATACGTATAGCTTTTCAGATCTCAATCATTTCTCACTTTGATAGTCTTTTGGATTCCTTGAAAACATATGAAATTAACCGCAATAAGAGGAGACGGACGAGATTTCTCGGTTCATGGAACATATTCCAGGTACGTTTATGCTATTTCCTGCCGTACAAATAGTGAAAAAATTCATCAAGCTCAATCTTCTGATTTGTCTATTTATTTATTTATTCATTTTTTATTTATATTTATCCTGTAAACATGCTCAAAAACCTTAGACGAAATTAGGGTTCATGCAATTTCGCCAAATGAAGCTCAAATCAAAAATAATACGAACACCAGCACATTTTTGGATCCTGGTTCGCTGCGGATGATGGGCAAGGGGTGGGGAGGGGGAAGTTTGTCCGCGTTGCTGCGTTTGGCACAGCGGCAATCTGTTTTTTTTTCCTTTCGGCAAGCGGTAAGAGCTTATGAAGAACGAGTTGGCAAACGCAGCCGCGCGGACACGCCCTATCATCTGCGGGAACAAAACTGTATGAAACTCAGAGAAAGTTTGCCTGGTGTAAGTATGGTCAATACAGAATATGCGATTGCATTTCTAGGTGGTGGGGTAAATACAAATCTCACCGTGCCAAGTGACTCACCGGTGAGGAAGAAAGCAGAAAAAGAAACATTGAAAAGGCTCTATATAAGAGACCTGTTCGGCTAATAACTATAACAAAAGAGGCACTGAACCTGGGAAAGAGAAACAGATTAAAGGATGGCGATAGAGTACACAAATGATGGAGACCCGCGACTGATGAGACCTACGATCAGCTCCTCGACTGGTGACTGGTAAAAACGCCGCAAATTCACTAATGATAGAGCTGCCCCTGCACACGAGTCGTCGTAATGGTGTAAACGGTTCGTGAAATTGTTTGGAAAATGTTAGGTTATTTTAGTTACTGGGAGGAAATCCTTTGAACAAGACAAGGAACGCGTCCACTTTCACTCGTTCATGCAGGACGTCCACAGAAGTGAGTCGTAGTCGGGTCACGCCGTGGCGATGGGAACACTGGTCAATTACCCTTCCTGCATTGCCTGCCTCTAGTAGGACCCGTCAGACTTGGAAAATCCAACTTTACCTCTCCATCACCTCCATTTAACTCCCAAGAGAGTTTCCCAAGAAAAAAAAAACTAGTCGATGGGAGAAGGGGGTGTTGGAATCTGGGTGACTGCACTGGGAAGCGTCCTGGGAGGATGGAATTTAAGATAGAGAAGCCCAAGCCTCTAGACAGCCGCGTACTCATTGGTTTAATGAGCAGATGTGGGTGCTTTGTAAACTGTCACAGAGTATTTTCAGCCACATAAGATATCACGCTCAGTAATCCGTAGTTGGTTTCACATAAGATAAGTAAAAACAAATGGCTGTACTCGCGAAGAAGAAATACGCCTTCCTTTTGAGGCCAGAAGGAAACTATCATAGCGTGAACCACGCCCAAGCCAACGTGCATTCGTGCAAAGTTGCAGTCTGTCGTATGCATTACTGCACTTTCACATTCCACATAAGAAAGATTCACTC